CCCTCTAAAAGAGAGACAGGGGCCTGTGCCAGTCCTGCAGCTGGAAGGGGGAGCCCTGTGTCAGGATAAGAGGAGAGCCATACACCCTAAATTGTTTCTGGGAGCAAGGGCGAGTTCCCCAGCCGGGGCTCCTGCAACACTGGGTTCCACAGAGGCCAGCTCCTAGGTTTTAGCCAGACGAGAGGCATCTCCTGCATAAGAAGAGAAAGCTGGGAACTGCTAGGCCAGATGATGCAGACAATCTATAAGAGCGTGTGGCTGGCAGATCCTATAAATCTTAGGGCCTGTGCTGTGGGTGATTCCGGGACACTCCGCTCTTCTCTCTGGGAGCCTCTGAAAATGCGCTTGCTTCCCCCAGCTTCCCTGTGGGTGGGTTTAAAGGGGGAAGGCGGAGGCGGTGTGGGTTTCGGGCACTGCCCAGAGAGGGGGAGAAGCCCTGCCCTGGCCAAGCCGTGCCCTTGCCCTCCCTGTTCCCTACCCTGTGCCAGATGCGCACCAGCAAGAGGATGTTTATGGAGACAGCAAATGGGCTGGCAGCTCCTTCCAGACAGGGGCCCCCGTCGCCTGCTGGGCGCTGCAGGCTGACCCGTGGTTAAAGATTATCCAGGGCTCAGGATGTGAGAATCTAAACAAACACGACTCCTGGCTGATGGTGGCCCTGCTTCAAAGGAGGCCCCTGCGCCAGCGCCCAGGCCTCGCCTGGGTTACCCGGCACCGGCAGGCGGCTCTCGGGGTAGCAGCTGGCCCCGTACAGACCCCTCTCCAGGCGTTTGTTAACAGTTTGCAGTCCCAGCCTCCTGTCTTTCAGCCCAGGCACAATCCTGTCTCTTCCAAGACACAGAGGCCAGGGACTCAGCCCCATTGGAAATCCTTATCCTACAGAAGAGAGGACCCAGAGGGGCCCCAGGGAGTGCATCTAGGGCATGGGCAGTCTTCTGCTAGTCGTACTTATTCCAAGATAGGGGACAGGGACAGGGAGCCTGGGAGGTGGTGAGCTTCCTGTCCCCCAGGGCACTCTAGCCAAGGCTGAGTGAGTACTGCACAGGGATAAAGGGATTCCCTTAGTTCTTCTAAGGCCTTGGCTAATCCAGAAGCCAAGATGCTTGTATCTAAGTTGTATTCAAATATTTTCCTGCCCCAAAGCCTCGACCCTCCCACTGGCTACTGACTCCCCATGGCCCAGGTGCCCACACCGCTGCTTGAGGGCTGGGCACACATTGGGCTGGTGAGTGTGGGGAGGAGGGCCGGTTACTGCACAGACAGGTTGCTTCCTGAAAGAGGGACATGGAGCGGAGCCACCTTGGCTACTTCCCCGGAGGCCTCGTGGTTCCCGTCTCATAAACACCTCCAAAATGGGCGTCCTCATTGCCCTCCCATCACTCATTGCCTTCAAATGGGGGCCACCCCTGCTTGGGGCTCCAGGTTACCATCTGCTTTCCCGCAGCTGTACCCTAGGGCAAAGTCCTCGGCTGAGGTTGGTCCCTCGGCTTGGGCTGCACGGCCTGGGGGTCTGGACACCACCCTGACCCGCTGACTTGATGCTGCTTCGCGCAGCCGGGTACTTGGCGGTCTCTCTGGCACAGGGCGCTCCCGCCAGCTCCTCCAGCTCGAGTTTCATCTATTTCAGGGCCTCGACGCAGCTGGGCCCACGGATGGGCGGTTATTTTGGAGCCCGCTGGCTGCCTGCAGCTGCTGCTGACCCTGGAGGGGCGGAGGGGAAGGGAGAGAAGACAACCTTGGGCTGCGCGTTGACCTCTGGGATTCACTCGGTCTCTAGCTCTTCCCCAGAGACTCCTGCCGCCACCACCCCCTGCCCCCAGCTCCAGCCATGTTTCAAGCAAGGCCAAACGTGTGTTTTCCCCACCCCCTTCTCCTCTCTCTCCATCTTCCTCTGCTTCTCTTCCCTTCTCCTGTATTCTCTACTGTTCTAGTTTTTCCTTCTGGTCTTTAGGCAGTGATTTCGTTTGGTGACTATGTCCCAGGTGCCCATCATGACTGATGTCATCCAACATCAAGGTTCACAGAGCCAGTGCTCTGAGTGCAGGTGGACCTGACCCTGGTTAACAGACTCTACCTGAGGCTGCCAGGTGCCAGCCAGGTGCCCGGCGCTTCCCACTCCACCACTGGTCCCAGCAACAACCTTTCAAGGCATCTAGGGGAGCAAGTTGAGACGGGGAGGAAAGTTGGTTACCCAGGGCCAACAGCCAAGGGCAGGATTGGACATTTAAGCCCAGGCCGGCATCACCCCGGAGCCCATGCCCTGTCTTCTGAACCCTGTGGCCTGTAAGTGATATGTAAGATGTCCCACAGTAACCTCAGGGCCATTGTGTGCCAGGTACTCTACCAGGTGCAGAGGTGCTTCATCTTCTAGGGGAGTGATACAGATTTTCTATCACTCAGTAGATGCTAACTTCACTGCTGCAGAAGAGAGACCCCAGCAGGTGGAGCTACTACTTGTCCTCCCACTTGTCCTCAGGGTCATATGACTTTTTTTTTTTTTTTTAAGTTTTATTTATTTGAAAGGCAGAGCTACACACAGAGAAAAGGAGAGTTAGAGAGGTCTTCCATCCGCTGGTTCACTCCCCAGTTGGCCGCAACGGCTGGAGCTGCGCCAATCCGAAGCCAGGAGCCAGGAGCTTCTTCTGGGTCTCCCATGTGGGTGCAGGGACCCAAGGACTTGGCCCATCTTCCACTGCTTTCCCAGGCCATAGCAGAGAGCTGGATCAGAAGTGGAGCAGCTGGGACTCGAACCGGCGCCCATATGGAATGCTGGCACTGCAGGCGGCGGCTTTACCTGCTGCACCACAGCGCCAGCCCCATCATATGACTTTTGAGATACAGAAAATGGAAGAACTAGGATTTGAACCCAGGGTGATGACTTAAAATTCATTGCCTACAAGTGTATGGTTTTGTTTACCAAAGAACCCTAAAGGTGGCATTATTAGAGGTCCAGTGTGCCTAGCAAGGAAGGTGATGGCCAGAGCGCAGCTGGAGTACGGAGTCTGCTTCTGCTCACGGTCTGCGGGTGGGAAGGTGTGTGGGCATACAGATGTTCCCCGAGCAGAGGTTTTTCCAATATGGGGCTCATAGGCAGCCCAGGAGGTAGTGGGTTAAATACAGGGAGGTGGACGTCAGCTTCAGGGAAGGAAGCACTTACAGACAGATTAGCGGGCCTCTGGAGAGGGCGAGCACCTGGGAGTGGGCATACCCACCGAGGCCAGGGCTGCTCTGAGCACTTGGTTCCTGTTTCCCCTGCTGTTCCCCTCTCCAACATCTGAGTCCCCAGGGCCACAGCCTAGAGTCCCTGAGGGTGGAGGAGCAGGGGCTGTTCCCCACGTCCAGGTGAGCAGAGCTCTCGCCATTGCCACCCACACAGCCCCCACCATGCGGGTCCTCGCCTCTGCCTCTCTGCAGCCCCCAGCCTCTCTGCCCCATCCCTGTCACTGAGTCAATTCCCTGGAATAATCGCATTTTCCAGTTGGCTCCCTCTTCCTTGCCAGCACCATGCTGGGAAACCCCAACCAGCCAGGCCCCACGAGGCGTCTCTGGAGTGGCAGGAGGCATAGGGGGAGGGCCCTGACCCCACAGTTCCTGGAAGGGGCAGGAAAACAGGGGCTGGGGAGAACAGAAAGGGGGGGGATTTAGAGAGTGTCTCTCCCAGACCAGTGCCCCCACGTTCCATGGTTACACCCTAGCACCCGGCAGCCTTAGGCAGTCCCCAGAGGTGAGGGTCCGTTCTCCCGGGTTGGGCGCACAGAGCAGCCTCCAGGGTGAGATGAGCCAGGGCTTAGAGTGGTGCCAGGGAAATTGGGGGACACTGACTCCCGGAGAAGAGGGGCTGGGAGTGAAGGATGTGGTGCTGGGAGCAGGACGGGCCTTGCTTGTGTCCTGGGTCTGTCCCCCCCCCCCCCCCCCCGCTGGCTGCCACGGAAGCGCTTTGGTTTCATCTGTGCAATGGGCACGCCTCCAAGGGCTGCTTCAGGGCTGGACCCTCGTTGCGTGGCAAGTACGTGCATTCTGAGAGGACTGCATGAAGCAGGACGTAACTCGGTCGTGACAAGAATATGGTTTTGGAAGCAGTTACTGGCACAGGGAGGTGTTCGGGATCAGGTAAAAAAGAGCCGTGACAAAGGAGAGCTGCGTAGTTAGGTTCTTAGTTGGAAATCCTTGCTGGTGGATGGCTTTGTGCAGTTCTGTGCTCTGAGACGCACAGAACCGATTAAGAATTTTCTGGTGAGACAGGGCAAAGCTACCACCGTGCTTTCAAAGTGATTTATTATCCATAAGAGGTTAAAAAACTGGTGTCTATTTAGCATGACTCAACGTTTGCATTAAAAAAAGCAACTAAAATGCATTTCAAAAGGCTGACAGGTCGTACATCCAAGTAATAAAAATGCATTTGGGTGGCAGGCGCTCAGTTCTTGCTGAACTGTGTTTTCTACAAAGTACACTCTGTATTACTGGTATGGTATGACAGGGTATCTGGGAGGAATCTACTGAAGCTCTCTCAGCCTGTCCAGCATGTGGCGAGGGTAACTCAAAAGTTAGCGTCACGGGGGACAGTGTGAGCCAAGAGGGGCGTGTGGGCTCCGGATGGCGCCCTCCTGTTAAGGAGTCATCCGTGGCTTCCGCAGGTATTCACGGGCTGTGCTGCACGCTACGCTAGGTGCTAGGGACAAAAGAGCTGGGGTCCAGGGTTGAAAAGTTAAAAAAATTATATATATATATATTTTAAAATTAGAGGTACAGACCAAGAAAGCACTTCTAAGCACTTAAGCGTTCTATGGGCTCAAGTCTGGTGCAGGTCCATGCAACCTGAGCGCTTTGATAAACAACTAGCGGGTCCTGCACAGCCCTGTTCCCTGACTGCTGAGGAAACTTCATTTATGACCTGTCAGGGCATTTTCTGTGCCCTCGGCCGGCCGGCGCGCGTGTGGGTGGCGCGCGCTTCACCGGGCGCCCGGGTGACGGTCGCCCCTCTCTCGCCCTCCCCGCCGCAGACAGCGAGCTGGTGCTGCCCGACTGCCTGCGGCCGCGCTCGCTCACCGCCCTGCGGCGGCCGTCGCTGCGGCGCGAAGCCGACGAGGCGCGCCTCTCCGTGAGCCTTTGCGACCTCAACGTGCCGGGCGACGAGGGCGCGCCGGCCGGCGGCTGCCCGATCCCGCAGAACTCGCTCAACTCGCAGCACAGCCGCGCGCTGCCCGCGCAACTCGACGGCGACCTGCGCTTCCACGCGCTGCGCGCCGGCGCGCACGTCCGCATCCTGGACGAGCAGACGGTGGCGCGCCTGGAGCACGGGCGCGACGAGCGCGCGCTCGTCTTCACCAGCCGGCCCGTGCGCGTGGCCGAGACCATCTTTGTCAAGGTCACGCGCTCGGGCGGCGCGCGGCCTGGCGCGCTCTCCTTCGGCGTGACCACGTGCGACCCCGGCACGCTGCGGCCCGCGGACCTGCCCTTCAGCCCCGAGGCCTTGGTGGACCGCAAGGAGTTCTGGGCCGTGTGCCGCGTGCCCGGGCCCCTGCACAGCGGCGACATCCTGGGCCTGGTGGTCAACGCAGACGGCGAGCTGCACCTCAGCCACAACGGCGCGGCCGCCGGCATGCAGCTGTGCGTGGACGCCTCGCAGCCGCTCTGGATGCTCTTCGGCCTGCACGGCGCCATCACGCAGGTCCGCATTCTCGGTGAGTGCCTGCGGCGCGCCTGCCCTGCACACAGGGGACGGCCCGGGTAGGGACACTGAGCAAACTCTCAGCCCCTCCGCGCCCAGGGCCTTGCTAAGGAATCACAGGTGGGCGAGGTGCGTTCTCGGCTGCTCTCAGGGGTCAGGAGGCCCACCTGGGGAGGGGGTGATTAAAAGGCCCAGAGTCGGGCCCACCTGCTTTCTCAGGGATACGTACAGAGCAGCGTACACACGCCCCAGGTGCCGCTTAAACATGGGTGGATATTTCCACCAGCGACTGTTTGAGGTGAGGCTTGTGTTGGTACAAAATCAGAACAGAGGTCCCGGCGCCTCAGGAGGGCTGTGAGTGAGAGTGAGAAACACGGGTGGGTGTATCGGTCACGTGATCTCTGTGCGGGGCACGCCCGACACGGGGGGGGGGGGCGAGAGGGATCCCTGAGCAGGTGCCCTTGATGGGGAGGACTTGAGAGCTGCGGGCCTGCTCTTGCTTGGGGCACGGGGCTCGAAAGGCCTGGGGGGATGTGGGTCGGTGCAGGCCTTGCTTCCCGAATGTTCTATGGATGTCAATGGTTGTCCTTTGAAAACAGGTGCATGTGATGGAAACATTTGGAATTCTAAAAGGGGAGGAAGGATTGTTTATTACAGCCTTCAATAGGCAGTGCGAGTTAAGAAGAGGGTGTTGGTTATAGTATACAGCTTTTCCAAACTGATTGACCAGACGTCTTTTCTTCTGAGACCTCTATTACTACCCCCCACCCCCGCCCCCTGCCAGCAGATGTCCATGGTCTGGTAACCACTCTGTTAGCCTAGGCTGGTTTCAGTGGCTCACCTGGAGAATTATTCAAGTGAAGATTCTTGCAACCCATCTGCAGAGATTCCAATTCTGTCTGTAGATCTTGGATTGGTTCCAGGTGCCTGATTTTTAGTTTTTAAGATTATTTATTTGAAAGGGAAAGAGAAAGTGACAATATGAATCTTCCATCTTGCTGGTTCACTCCCTAAAAGCCACAATAGGTAGATCTAGGCTAGATCTAGGAAGTCCATCTGGGTCTCCCACATGGGTGGTATGGGTGGCATGGGCCCAATGCTTGGGCCATCTTCCTCTGCCTTTCTGGGCAGAGTAGTTGAGACTCACACTGGTATTTCCATAAGGGATGCTGTTGTCTCAAGCAGAAGCTTAACCTAATGCACCACAATGCCAGGCCCCCTGTGTGTTTTTTTTTTTTTTTTTTTTTTTTTAAGATTTATTTATTTGAAAATCTGAGAGAAAGAGAGAGGGAGAGAGACAGACCGATCTTCCATCTACTGGTTCGTACTCCCCAGATGGCCATGACGGCTGGGGCTGGGCCAGGCTGAAGCCAGCTTTTTCCAGATCCCCCATGTGGGTAGCATGGGCCCAAGCACTTGGGCCATCTTCCCCTGCTTTTCCCAGGCCATTAGCAGGGACTTGGATGAGAAGCAGAGCAGCCGGAACATGATGCCCGTTTTGCAGGCGGTGGCTTTACCTTCTGTACCACGGCATAGTACCTGTGTGCATGAGTTTGTGTATGTAATGTTGGTGATAGTGAGTATGGGATTTGTGAAATTCAGTTGAATCCATTGGGATGTCCAGCTCTTGAAAAAGACCAAATGAAGGGGCTGCCACTAGGGTGTAGTGGGTAAAGCCGCCGCCTGCAGTGCCAGCATCCCATATGGGCGCCACTTTGAGACCTGGCTGCCCCACTTCCTATCCAGCTCTCTGCTATGGCCTGGGAGAGCAGTGGAGGATGGCCCAAGTCCTTGGGCCCCTGCACCCATGTGGGAGACCTGGAAGAAGCTCGTGGCTTCCGATTAGCACACCTCCAGCTGTTGCGGCCAACTGGGGAGTGAACCAGTGGATGGAAGACCTCTGTCTCTCTCTGCCTCTCCTTCTCTCTCTGTGTAAATCTGACTTCTGACTTTAAAGCAAAATAAATAAATCTTAAAAAAAAAAAAAAAAAAGACCGGGGCTAGCGCTGTGGCTCACTAGGTTAATCCTCCGCCTGCGGTGCCAGCATCCCATATGGGCACCTGGTTCTGGTCCCGGTTGCTCCTCTTCCAGTCCAGCTCTCTGCTGTGGCCCGGGAGTGCAGTGGAGGATGGCCCAAGTGCTTGGGCCCTGCACCCGCATGGGAGACCAGGAGAAGCACCTGGCTCCTGGCTTTGGATCAGCGCAGTGCACCGGCCGCAGCACGCCGGCCACAGCGGCCTTTGGAGGGTGAACCAACGGCAAAGGAAGACCTTTCTCTTTGTCTCTCTCACTGCTCTCACTGTCCACTCTGCCTGTCCAAAAAAAAAAAAAAAAAAAAAAAAAAAAGTAGAATAGCTGGGACTTGAGCTAGTGCACAGGTGGTGGCTTAACCCACTGCGCCTTCTATAGTACTGTCCCTGCAAGTGACATTTAACCCACTGTGTCAAACACCCATCCCTAAATGTTATTAGAATAATGCTAATTATTTTTTAAAAATATTTTTTAAACCTAGGTTATTTGAAAGGCAAGGAGACAGAGAGATGGGGAGCATGAGGGAGGGAGAGAGAAAGAAAGATAAAGATTTACGTTATTACCCAAATGTCTGCAACAACCAGGCCTGGGCCAGGCTGAAGCCAGGAGCCTGGAACTCCATCTGAGTATCCTATGTGGTTGGCAGGGACCCTAGTCCTTGAGCCAGTATCTGCCTCTCAGGGTGTGTGGGGAGCAACTGGGAGCAACTCGGACTAGACTAAGTTACTGGAATTAAGACTTATTCTATGCATCTGCTTTCCCACAATATGGCACTGAGAAGGGAAACAGCTTCTACACAGCTGCCTCCAGTTCAACCAATAAACTGTGGGACCTGCTCCTGATTGGAGGAGAGCAGCGTACTCGGCGTGTGGGTAGCAGAGTTGGGATTGGTGGAAGAGGACTATAAAGGAGGAGAGAGACGGCATGCACCAGGAACATCTAGGAGGAACATCTAAGGGGAACACCTGTGCAGCCCCCGAGAGAGCCGGCCGGCGGTGTGCCGCTCCCCCGCGGAAGTGGGGAATGTGGCAGGGGGAATCGCCCTTCCACGGAGGTGGAAGGGACAGTAGCCAACCCGGGAAGAACCAGCAGCAAACCTGGGGAGGGCCGAGCAGACGAAAGAACAGCGCAGGGTCCTGTGTCGTTCCTCCACGAAGACGGGGAGCGACAGGGTGTGCATTAGCAGGAAGCTGGAACTTGACCCCAGGCACTCCCTATGGGATACAGGTGTCCTGAGCAGTGTCTCAAGTGCCGTAGAGTAGCACTAGAACTAATAATAAAAAATAACCTCCCTGAACACCTGCTTGTGTGCAGGGTATTGTGTTAGCATCTGTTGGGGAATCACAGGTGAGTAAGGTTTCCTGTTCTCAAACGCTAATGGTTTCTCTGGAGAAACCAAGCTGGATTCCAGCGCAAAGAGCAAGTGGTCCCCAGGCCTAGTGTTTGTCAGGCGTGCCCTGCTCAGAGCTCAGTGTGGTGGTATGGTTTGCAGGAGAGGGTCAAGGCTGCCCAGAGGGGTGGGTTTGAGGATAGCCCCAGGAGGTTCCCTGGGCAGTTAGCTCTTTGAGGACAAGGCCCTGTCCCCAGCTTTATGGCTATTGATAGCTTTGGGCCCTCAATAGGGATTTGTTGAGGAGGAGTGGGGAGGCGGAGAGCAGTGAGGGAAGGCAGGATGTGCACAGGGGGAGGAGGGGAAGGCGTTTCGCCAGTGCCAGTGCCGAGGATGTGGGTGGCATCTGGGGACATCAGTGGAGAGGGCAGGGCTATGAAGGGGGGAGCGTGGGGGGAGCTGGGGGCTTTATTCTCTGCCCTGGGACCCTGCAAGGTGAAGGTTGCCAAGGAGGGGTGGCAGTGGGGTTTGGGCCGGGGCTGGTTTGAGACTGCTGATGTAGTGAGGCCAGAGCATGGTGGGCCCCCAGTCTGGGAGAACAAGGAGCGGGGGCTGTGCTCTGGCCAAAGAGGGACTCGGCTCGCGCTTTCTCTGATGAGGCCTCTGGGTGGCTCCACTTGCCCCCTCACAAACACTGCCCCCCTCTTGCAGGCTCTACCATCCTGGCCGAGCGGGGCATCCCGTCGCTCCCCTGCTCCCCTGCCTCCACACCAACCTCACCCAGTGCCCTGGGAAGCCGCCTGTCTGACCCCTTGCTCAGCACTTGCAGCTCTGGACCTCTGGGGAGCTCTGCAGGTGGTAAGTACGCCGCCGCCCTGCGCGCCGCCCAGCCGATGCTGTGGGACTGAGCCACACCTTCCCTGAGTCCCCAGCCAAGGCAGCGGGGGGCAGGGCTGGCACTGAGAAGAGCTGGAGTTGGGTTCAGTGAGCCCTTGTTGGGGTGCCTTCTGGGTGTATCCTCTTGTCTCCAGCTGGGCAGCTTCTCCAAAGAGCACCAGACAGGAGGGCCCGGCCTTAAACGTGGGGGTCCTTTCCCTGCGTCTTCCTTTCTTTCCCTCTCACTGTTGATGGCCACTCTGGCCCCTGGGCTGGCCGAGTGGTCTGGCAGTGGGGCCGCCCAGGGCTCAGCCTCTTCCCTGTGCCTGGAAGACAGGTTGTAGGGGTCAGTCGGTGGCTCTCCAAAGGTGGGGTCAGAGGAGGCCAGGGGCTGCTCTTCCCAGGAACCTACAACCAGGCGCCCTTCCCGACTGGTGCTCCCTCACCCCCAGGGACGGCCCCCAACTCGCCGGTGAGCCTGCCCGAGTCACCAGTGACCCCAGGCATGGGCCAGTGGAGTGACGAGTGCACCATTTGCTATGAACACGCGGTGGACACGGTCATCTACACGTGTGGTCACATGTGCCTCTGCTATGCCTGCGGCCTGCGCCTCAAGAAGGCTCTGCACGCCTGCTGCCCCATCTGCCGCCGCCCCATCAAGGACATCATCAAGACCTACCGCAGCTCCTAGCCTGCCACACGGCAAGCCAGCAGGGCCCTTCTCTTCCTCACTTTGGAAACTTTTCCTTTTCCATTAAACATGGGACACTGAGGCCCCTGGAGGTTTGGGGAGAGAAGAGGATCAGGCAGGGAGGTGTGGGGGGCAGAAGCCAATCGCTGGGTGGGGGCAAGGTAGGAGGCCACTTTGCCTTCTGTGCACCGACTGCCCCTGCATGCTGAGGGCTAGGGCTCCGCACCTGTCCCAGCCCTCTGGGACATCTGGTGCGGATTTTTAGGAGGTCCCTCCGGCCTGCTTGGCACCATGGTGAGAACGCAAGAACATGTACCCTTGGGCATATGCGGCCCTGAGCTGGGGCCTGTGGCTTGGCGAGTGGGGTGCAGACTGGATTGTAACCTCCATTTGCTTCCTCGGCCGGCTGCCCTTGAGTAGCGTGCAACCTTCTCAGCAGCAGCTCCTGAGCCACTGCCTCCCTGTGCTACACCCGCTTCCTGGCTGCCCTCTTCCTGCCTGTTGCGCCTGGCAGCTGGGGCAAGGTGGCCAGTGGGCGCTCCTCCCCTGGGCAGGGTGCAGCCTCCATGCCACAGTGCCCGCCGCCCAGGTTGGGCGAGTGGATGGCAGGGAGCGCTCCAGGTCCTGGCGTAGCCTTTCTGCTCCGATCATCTCGCGGACGCCATTGCTCAGGGTGGCCCTTTGGTGTGGGCTGAGGGGCGGATCTGCCTTGTGTCAGGGTCTCTTGAGAACAGGTTTGCAGCTTCCCTTTCTGGCCTGGCCTTGCACAGCTCAGTGCTGGCCTGGGCCACTTCTCAGAGGCTGTCACCTGTCCAGGAGGAGCGAGGACCCTGGGTTTCAGGGTGTGCGGGAGCTTCTCTGGGCTAAGACCAGCCCTTTGTCGTGTTTTTATTTATTTATTTATTCAGTTTGTGGGTTTTGGGTTTCTGCTTGTTTCTTTGTGAGCCCCCGGGAATGCTGCCCTGCTGTGTGGGGAACCTGGTGACAGGCAGCAGAGGACGGCCCCACCCTGCCCAGACCCTGGCTGCAGCGCTCACGGTCAGCCCTGACAACCCTGAGCTGGGAAGAGGGGCCACAGCGGGAGGCCTCCTGGCACATAGTGCCCATTGAACAGAGAGGCAAGCTGGGGCCCGTGGCTCTTCCAGGGCCACAGAGGGCTGTTCCTCTCTGGCCCGAAGCTGGGTCACCTGGGACATCAGGTGGCCTGAGAGCTCTCCCCTCCATGTAGGCATGGAAAGTTCTGGGAAGGCTTGGGGGGCATATGAGTTGGGGAGCAGAGCTGGAGGAGCCTTGTCACAGAGGGCAGAGGTGCCTCTCCACACTGCTCGGCTGTTCTGGGTCCTTGGGAAGAGTGCCCCGCTCTTGGGTTATGGGCAGTTCAGCCCTGCCCGCCCTGTCTGGGCTTTGGCTCCCCTGCCTCCTAGCCTCTGCCGCCCTAGATGGCGGCTTCCATGACAGCTGGGTCCTGAGGTTCTAGTCGTGGCTACTGACTGGCTGTGTGGTCCTGGCTGGGTCATTGCCCCTCTGAACCTAAGCTTCCTCCTCTGTGAAATGGTTGTGTGTACCTGTGGGGGTGCTTTCTGTTTGACTTTTGGGAACTCTGGTGGGGCTGCCATGGGGTGGTGTGATGGGGATGTGCGGTGGGCGGGGCCTGCAGCCCCTGGGCAGGCCCGTTCTACTCTGGGTCTCTTCCTCTCTGTCACCTGCCTTGGGCGATCCCATCCAGAGGCAAAGAAAGGCCTTAAGTGTAGGGGCTGCCTGGCCTGAAGGCTGGGGAGCGGAAGCCCATCATTCATTGTCTGTTAGTGCAAGGGTAGCTGCTGCCTCCTTTGTGAACTCGGGTCGCTGTGATTGTGAATAAAGGTGATTTCGTACCAGCCTCAGGGCTGTGCTGTGTGTGCAGAGGTTGGAAAGGGTGGACCCTGGAGATCAGGTGTCCTGGATATGGATGGGAGTCCTCAAGAGGTGGGACAGACTCCCTGGGCTGGGGGGCTGGAGTGTGACCTGTGGCTTGGACAGCAGGAGCTGGCATGTCAGGTGAGTCTCAAAAGGGTAAAGCCATGGCCCTCTGGTGCTGTGGGGAGCAGGAGCCCCAGCCTCCTCTGGGAGGATGCTCTGCTTCCCCTGGAGGCTGAGCAGGGCCCAACCTCGCTGAGGTCCTTGTGGGATCAGCAGTGCCACCTAGGGGCTGATGGAGGGAATGACAAGTCCCCGCCACTCAGGGGCTGTGCTGACTCCCCAGGAACAGGGCCTCCCGTGGCTGGCCCCAACCTTTGGCTGGAGCTCAGCTGTGTTCCCACAGTCAGGTGTGGAGGTGTACACCAAATGGAAGGCTACTGGACAGAGATCTTGGGAATTCTGTAAATGTGCTGGGGAAGGGGGTTTGGTGGCAGGAAAAGGATGTTGGAATGGTGCTTTTCGGGCAAGGCCAGGCTCAGAGGCAATGGGGCACCTGGCCACCTAACTGCGGGCTGTTCCCCACACCAGGACTACCCTGTCCTGCTTCCTGTGGAGTCTGGTACAGGTAGGCCTGCTGGTTGTGTCCTTGGCCCTGAGACCTGCTTCTCCCAAGGACTTGGCCACTGCCCAGAAGGGCGCCTGACCATGGAGGAGGAGCAAGGAGAGTTCAAGTACAGCTCTCACCAACAGTGGGAGTGGGGCAACGACCCCCTAACCCCCAGTGCCTGCTTTTGGGACAATGGGACATTTGCCATCTGGCTGAGTGGGGATGCTGGTCATAGAATGAAGAGGTGAGTCTGTTCAGTTAAAAAGGCCAAAAACTTTATTTAGTCTTCAGGGAAATACAAGATGCATGTAAACATAAAATACAAAAAACAACCCAAATCTTACAGTCTAGAAGCATGCCAAGACACAGCATTTTCTGCAGGCCCAGGAGTCCTGCCCAAGTGAGGAAGGGACCTGGACAGTGGCAGCCAGGGGCTGGGGCCCCTTCCCAGGGATACTGCATTTTTGTGGTGAGGAAAAAACAAACTCACTAAAAATATTAGAAACACGGAGATAGTTTAGCACCACCATGGATCTTGGAACTATTTTAGCACTCAAAGCGAGCTGCACTGCATCTAACGGCCGTTGCTCCAGTTTCTCTGTGGAGGGAGAGGAAGGAAACCCTAGCGGAGGCCTCCTCCTGCCCCCAGTGCCCCACTGAGAGCCGAGTGGAATTCTCCCAAGTTCTACAACCTCAGAGACCTCTGCCAGTGAACCCAGCTCTGCAGGGCGCACAGCCACGCTGCACAGACCTGCCCCTCGGGTGTGCTGGGCACAGACGTGCGTGCCAGGAACGTGCTTTCCATGCGTGTCCTGGATTCGGGGACAATCTGCTGCAGAGCCTTCGTCCTCTGCATGGATGCGGAGGAGCGGGTAGCCTGGTTGGAAGCCACCGGAAAGATGGAAGGCTGCTCCCGTGGCTGGCTGCACTCTGCCAGCTCCGAGTCACGCCAGGAGCGCGGACTCCACAAAGCCCCTGCACAGGTCTCCTCAGGACCCTTGCAAGAGACAGAAGGGTTCCCGCGTGCGTCCCTGGTTGCACAGCTGATTGTGGCTGCTGGTCTGATTCACACCGCTTGAGAGCTGGCGTTGGATGGGATCACGGGGCGTGGGCCCAGCCAGCTGGGCACCTGGGAGGCAGGCGGACAGTCTGGAAACAGGGTCCCGAACTCAGAGGTTTATTTGCTGTGGGTATTTGTCCTTTCCACTAAGTAAACGGAGGAGACCTGCTGGAGACCCAGCTGGCTCACGGCTAGTGACTGACAGTTTTCTCTGGCAGCTTCTATGACCAAATCTGAAGGGTTTCTCAACCTGCTCTGGCTAGGCCTTTAGGTGCTGAACCACCAGTTCCCCCCCGTCCGTTCTCTTCTTCCGGAAACACTCAGACTTCCTCCTCCTTTCCAATCAACAAGACCAGACCTGGACCCCTCTCTGAGCCTTCTCAGACCTCTCTGTCTTTTCTGGAAGCCCCCTCCCCAGGAAGGGATGGCAGCCCCAGCCACCCCAACGTGCACATGCCCAGCCTCTCACGCGCCTCTCACGTGCCTCTCACTCGCCTCTGACGTGCGCAGTCCAGTCTTCTGCCCTACGGCAATTCTCTCAGACTTCCTGGGGCCCAGCCCATTGGCTGGGATGGAACTGGGAGCAAGGCAGGGACCTCGAAATACGGGATGCTATTCTCTAAGGCCACTAAGTTCTGGGATGGGATGAGGGTGTTGATTGTCAAATTCAAGTGCAAACTTGAGAGAAAGGTAGGATGGGGGAAGGGGAACCACATGCCAATTCCAACCCGATAGCAGGTTGGGCTCAAGGTCTCGGAAGGCAGAGCCTTCCACCAGTACAAGCACCAGCATGGCCAGCTTGTGGCCTGGGGCCCCGGGCATGCAAGGACAGAGTGGGAGGAAAAGGCTAACTGGTGGGGCTGTAGGTCACTAACCCTGTTCTCTCACCGGTCTGATCACAGCCCCGGAGACCACGGGACATCAGACTGCCCCAGCTAGGGATGATGGTTTAGCAGAGGGTTCAGGAAGGTCCCAGGAGCCTGCACAGTGCTGCCGGGAAGCGTTCAGGGGTAGATGCAGGCATAGGTCACGCTGGGCAGAGCGGCTTCTCTCCCTTGCCCACCACCCCACGTTCGGAGAAACAAAACCCGAGGGGCCCTCAGCTCTTTGGTGCTATGGGGAGCCTCACACCACGGGGGTGGGAGGGGGCAGCGCCTCCACACCTGACAGCGGCTCTCCTCCACATTTTCATTTTGGAGCCTGGGATGATGGCCGAGGCTGCTGCTGCTAGATCTGTTAATGCCAGTGTGAAGTTTCCAACTAAATACTTAAAATAATTATAAAAACAAAAACAAAAACACATTGCACTCTCCAGCCAGAACTGTGTGTGTGACTAACACACACACTTGCTGCTAGAAGCTGTGAGTCCCTTGGGACCTGCCCAATGCCAAGGACTTGCTCAGTGGAGACCGCTTGCCCGGTACTTTTTCTCTAACCCCATTATTTAGTTCAAGTGGGAAATTACCACACACACACACACACACACACACACACACTCAACATATAACCCTCAAAAAAGTGAGGGAATCAATTGTTTTAGCGATGTGGACGGTTTTCTTCCCAGAAAGCTTTGCACTGGGCATGTAGCTGTGTATGCACTGAGGGAGAGGCCCACCCAGGGGTGCAGCCCCGCCCCGGGCACAGAGATCCGTATCTACAGAAAGTCATCGAGTTGGGGGCTGGAGCAGCAAGCGTACAGTACTGGAAGTGGAGGGGACCAGTGGCGAGGGCCTATTGCCCGCAGGTCACAGCTCCCAGGGCCTGCACCAGAGGGGACTTCCCGTCCCGCTACTTTTTGTACCGGCGCCAAGGAAGGAGGCAGCCGGCCTGGTACCTGTTGGGGGAGGTTCTGTCTGCAGAGACCTGGGCAGACCGCTCAGGTCCTTCTTTCCCTATGAAAAATTCTTGGACTGTCTGGCGTGTGGGGCAGAGGCACGGCTCGCTCCTCAGGCTGAAGTCATTGAGATGAATGGGTGTGCCCAGCTCGCCCCCACCCCGTCCCGCCCCACTGCAGGGGCCTCACTGGGATATGCAGGGCTCAAGGCACCACACACCCCCCTCCCCCCAAAAAAAGGACTTGGTTGCATCTAGGATTCCTGCCCATAAACAGAACTGAGGTTACATAGTTTTAGAACGATTCAAACATGCATCCAGAGGATCACGGCCCAAACATCAGGAGGCTGGGATGAGAGAGGGCTGCTGGGAGTGGCTTTGGGGACAGGTCTCTGAGCAGCTGGCTACAAAACAATGGAAATGAAAACAAGCAACAGTTCCTGGGGGTCCTTGCTCCGCTTGGCACTGGGGCCTTAGGCCCTCAAGAGCCCCCAGCCTGTCCCTGAATCCTTTCTCCTGGGTGGACGCCACCCAATAGAAAATGGGGCTGCGCTCAGGCAGAGACCCACCTGTCTGGCCAGGAAAGGGTGAGGGGGGAAGGGGGCACCAACCCCGCTACCTGCTCCAGTTAGGATCCTTCTAGCAGCCTCCCCCCTTGCGCTGTCTGCAGATGGCCAGCGGCTCTCCCTACCTCTGCAATGCCCGATACGCCTGGCGTCCCTCTTGGTAATATTGCACTTTTCCTGCCTCTCGGATTGTTTTCATTTTCAATTGAGAATGCAAAGTATTTGGAGGGGGTAGGGGAAGTGAGTAACCGTGAAGAAATATTAGTTAAATACAAAGAGGAAGGAAGGGGTTACTTCGTCTCCCCCACTCCTTAAAAAAACCAAACTACCAAACCAAGGTCTAAGCTTAAATAGTTCTACACCTATGCTGCGATTACTAGTAACAGGAAAGTAACGCTCGACCACAATTCCCTTATCTTTTTCCTTAGATGATAAAAAAAGTTGTAACATGCCTTGCCGAGGAAAGCGATGGGTATAAATGCCAGTAACATATGCTGCTCTAACATCTGAACATGGTTAAGATGATTCTATATAATGCCTTCGTCAAGACAGAGAGTCGAGGAGGAAGAGAAAACCCTTTGGGGCCAGGCTGGGGAGTGGGCAGGCTGAGGCCATTGTCACTGGGCGGAGTGAGCTCCCCCCAGAGCAGGTGGTGCACCTGCTGCTCCAGGGTGTCCCTCCCAGCTCCCACTTGCTGCCCCCATGGCCCTAGTGTGAAGAGCATGGAGGAGCCAGGCCCGCTCTTACAGAGGTGGGGGGGAGATGAAGACACCTCCTTCCCCCCTGCCCCCAGTAATCAAAGTAAAGGTCTTTAGACTGAAAGAAAGGAAAAGCACCAATGCTGCATCTTCAGGCATTATATAAACCTCAATAATGACCTCAGAAGGGCTCATTATGATTAAAGTTGCAGTATA